CCGCGTGTCTACTGACCCTGCCGTACGGCATATTAATGGGGGTCCAGGAGTACCCGGAGGTGCCGATCACCTACTGTGAAGAGGAGTGGACTCACGACGAGTCCCGCAAGGCTTTCGGCATTTCCACGTGTGTCCTCCAGTTTATCATTCCGTTTGTTATCATAACCTTCTGTTATGTGAGAGTTTGTGGCAAACTCTGGGACAGAGCCCGAGCCCGACCCGGGTCTGTGTCCATGCGCAGGGAGGAGATGGAGAGGGAGAGGACCAGGAAGACCAACGGAATGCTCATCTCAATGGTAGTCATATTTGTCATCTCATGGCTGCCAATCAACTGTTATAATCTGGTAAACTATTTATATACTATTAAAAACATTTTTACAATATAATAAGCGTCTGTTTGACTGTGCTAGGTTAGTATTTGAAGTAGTTTAGAGTTTTAATTTACTGTAAAAACTTTTTAATTAAACCTATTAATAGACTCGTAGAAAACAAAAAATATCAAAAAACTTTTAGCGTTTAACATAAATAACAGAATTCTATGGCATTTATATATATAACTTAGTAATTATTTTAATGATGTTTCTTTTATAGAGAATATTCTGTGCATTGAAATGTGGTGTACACTATAACTACAGTACAGTACAGTACACACACACACACACTATACGTACATTTACTCAAACGAGTGCTAATTGCAGTGTAATTATAGAAAAGTCTAAAAGCATTTCTCATTCACAATATATATATATATATATATATATACTGCACTTAACACTGGCTCCAGAATCGTAACACAGAATATAAAGGGAATAAAATACAACTAATTGCTAATTAATGTACAAATAAATCTCGCACTCCATTCAAGCTACTGTTCCCTCTATTGCTGAATAGGTTCGGGACTTTTACACCCCGGCGTCGTACTGGCGCTATTCGCATGCATTCTTCGTGTTGGCGCACGCGGTGTCCATGTCTTCGACCTGTTATAACCCATTCCTCTACGCCTGGCTTAACGAGAATTTCCGCAAAGAATTCAAACAAGTGTTGCCCTGTTTTAGGGCTAACTGTTCCACTGTGGCGGCTATGGAGCTCCGGCACCGGGTCATCAGGACTCAGTGCAACGGCACGGAATTGGCTGATAATAAGACCAATAATACCAATGTATTGAACGCCATATGTGTGGCCAATGATCTCAATAACACAACCGAGCCTTTAATCACCCATAAGACAGATGTCGACCAAAATGACGAGAAAATCAATGGGAATGCCGTCGAAGAGGACGTACAATAATTTTGACCACTTATAACTTAAACATAAAACCAAAACTTTTTTGTCTAATGACTATCGGATTTATTCGTACGTTTTCATTGGGAATTTGTTCACAAAATATTATTTATTCATAAAAACAAAACTATATTTAAAACGAAAATTATTATTAAATATTGATACAATATATTAAATATAAAATATAATATTATTAATCTTATACACAGATTACCTATTATTTTGTTTGTAAGTAGAGATTAACACAATTGAGAAGTTTATTACAGAAAATTTTTGTATTTGTTATAATGAGTAAAGTCTGGAATTTAATTGTATATTATGATGAGATTTGTTATTATTGTTGTTAAGTCACAGAAATCTTGAAATTAATCTTTCGTTTTCCAATTCATTAATTGGGAGCACTATTTGGACACCAATTATATGTGTTTGTGAGAGCACTGGTATGTATGTGTCGATGGGCATAGGAAATGGTGCGATAATGATGGCAATAATGACACCAATGAGTGAATTGTGAGACAAAACAGAATTATTTCAAAGTATTGATGAGTTTGTCGGTGGAGTCGGTCGTGCGTTAGATAAAGAGTAGACACCAACACATATATACCAGTGCCAGCACTTGTAGCCTTCATTACGAGATGATATAATAGTTATAATAATAACTCATTTCTCTCTCTCTCTCTCTCTCTCTCGAATAGTAAATGATTTATTGTTAGCTCAATATATACTTTATTGTAAATTGTGTTTATTTTTCCAAAAACTATTACACACTTGTATATTGTATATATCGGACACAATATAATATGATTATAGCGTTTATAGTGTACTGCGATATTCGCTCACAACAAATGTATAGTGTTTTTGATGTTTAAACGATTTGAGAGTTTTTAGTTGTTATCACATATTATTGATGAAAATACAAATAGTTTATCAAACCATACAATTATTGTAATAAAATTGATGAAGTTTTACACTAAATATATCACTATTTATAACAAAAGAGTATTCTATAAAATATACTACATTTTCACACTACCGCTCACTTCGAGAATATTCTGTTAATTTTATAATTATATTAATTTTAAATTAATTGTATATAAATTAATTGTTTATAGTGTTAATTACATTACATGTTAAATGTATTTCAAATAATGAAAATGTTAAATTAATTATATTCATAGAATTTATGTTATAATACATTTCAATAATAAAATAAACATTAAATTATGTTTTCAAGAATAGTTTTCAATTTTAACCAAGGGCACAGAGGCAAATTTACAAATTCTATAGAGTAAGTTATTAGTATATAACATTATATTTTAGTGAAACCACTTACTTAAAATATTTTAAATTTCAATTAACTAACAGAATATTATTATGAAACATTTAATGATCAAATAGTATACTGTAGTAGTACAGGGTAACTAATATTATATAAAAGATTATACAATGAAAAGTACATTAAAGACTTATAAGTTATAGACGACTTAATGCCTCATTATTAATGAGTGATTACTATTTCAATGAATAATTTCCAAAACAATCTCTTCATTGACTCTCTCCGGAAGTGTCGAGTCTTTGCACATCACATCAAATTCACTTTTGGCTTATTGTCTGATAAAAACTTTTTACATTATTTCTTATGTCTAACCAAAAATTATTTGATGAAAATATTCCACTCATATCCACCATTACACTCAAAATATACATTTTAATTGTAATGCATTTTTGTTTAATATTTTAATACAGAATATTTGTTACGTTAATTAATAATAGATAATTATAAAATAATCGTTAATTTGAAAAAATATATTGAAATTAAAATAATTCAAAGTTTTCAATACAGTAAGATATTGAATAAAATAGATTTATTAGCAAAAATGCACTTACCATATATGCTTATCAAAAATCAAAATTAAAATTATAGATAATTAAATAAATTGCTATCAAATCATAAAACACAAATGTGTTGTAACAGAAAATTTATTATTAAATTCCTATTACTGTTAAAACATTTGTTGTTTTGTTGTATTCACATTTGTTTAATATTTTAATACAGAATATTTGTTATGTTAATTAATAATAGATAATTATAAAATAATCGTTAATTTGAAAAAATATAATGAAATTAAAATAATTCAAAGTTTTCAATACAGTAAGATATTGAATAAAATAGATTTATTAGCAAAAATCCACTTACCATATATGTTTATCAAAAGTAAAAAGTAAAATTATAGATAATTAAATAAATTGCTATCAAATCATAAAACACAAATGTGTTGTAACAGAAAATTTATTATTAAATTCCTATTACTGTTAAAACTTTGTTGTTTTGTTGTATTCCCAACAAAAAAGGCTAATACTTTAAAAAGAAAGAAGAAATTACATTACTTTTCAAAACTATTTAACACAACATATGGAACTGAAGTTCAATATTATATATTAGTTTTAATGTATTTTATTTGTTATAAGTATTAGATTTCTTGCGAACAAATGATTTCTTAACCGTTATTTTCGAAACACAATTAGGATTTTGTTTCTTTAAAGCCATTTAGGATTTAATTTAATTTTAAATGTCAAAACATATAACAAATAAAACTTCCGATTTCCAAACTTAACTTTATATCTATTTTTATCAAACTTACAAAAAAAACTATACTAAATTTCCACTGGAGTATTAAATTCTCAGTTTAGTAACTCGTTTAAATTAATATACAATAATAAAACATTAAAACATGTTACATAATTCACTTTGAAATAAGTTTGTTTACTAGTAATCAATTGGTATATGAAATGAGCCTTAAATGAGTAAAACTATTAAATAATGGAAAAATGGTAAAACTTTTTTGTGGCACATATTTGTTGACAAATTGTTATGCGATTCGCTAAAAAGGCTATAATATTGATGTTTGCAAACACGAGATTGAATGCAATCGTTATGTTAACTCTTATAATAGGTTTTGTTGTCATAAACTAATAGTACAGATGTAGTCAAAACCCTCGGAGATCATAACCGAAAAACAAAAATATCGGAAATAATAATAAATTAAATAAACTATTATTTCAGTCATTCATACAAATGACTTATTTTTATAGCAAAAACATACATAAAAACCATTTTTCACTCCAAGAATATCTGTTTTATATAGAATATATAAATTCATTAAAGAATTATACTTATATAAGAATATATTTTATTATAATACTCAACATTTCTTAATATGTCCTAAATATACTTTTATACTTTAGTATACTTTGAAATAATAAATTAGGATAAAAGAAAATTATATAAAATGTTTATTGGAATTATAAAAATTCTCAATAATATGCTCTTGTAATAAAATTTATAATAAATTATTTATTACAATTGATAAGGTCTAAAAATATGCTGTAATCATTCAATAGTGATTACCATAAAATATTTCAAATCAAAAATTTAATGAATTAATAATAAATTTATATAACATTACAGTATTTAGTATGAAAATTATTGTATTGTACTCTACAGTATTTTAATGTATACAGTTGAATAGTTGTATTTATATAATACAGTATTACCTTATATTGATACTATAAATAGATAAACTAATTCATTGAAACATAAAACTTTTCCAAAATCCAATACCTTGAAATTTTTATTTTATATCTATTTTTGTAAATATATTTTTACTTGCAGTAAAATAAAATTAGATAATCACATTTATTATCTGGTAACCTAGTATTAGGGTTGTAAATAGTAGAAAATTGGGTCCAAAATTCAAGTACTAAATGCGGTAATTTAAGTGACTATTCAATACAACAATTAACATATTGGTAAAAACAATACAGTATTTTCAAATTAATATTTTATATAAAATAACTTTATTTTTTATAACACTTGTTATTATATTGAAAAGTCATCATTTATCAAAATTAAAACATTTAACTAAAGACAATTAATTAAAATTATACTTATAAAGTTACTGAACTGACCATTGATTATCACGTACTGTGTCCGCAATATATTAATAAAATACACTTCATTTCACTGCTTTGGCATGGTAGTTAATTGTTATCCAGGTCCGGTTTCCTAACGAAAAGTGGTTTGTCCAATATACCGTGGTAAAGTTTTCCGATTTTCATACATTGGCGCTTAAAAATGTGTAAAACTTTTTATGTTCATTCATTCATAACACTGTAAATGAGTCGATTAGTATGAGTAGCCAGGTAAAACTTTAGTATGGATTAATGTTTCATTACTAATTATAAATACTATTTATAGATGTTATTTACTTTAATAAAATGGATATGACAATTTAATTAATATTATTTTTATTAATGATAATGATATTTAATAAAAAAGTCATTAAAGCATAAATATTTGTTACAATGGCTACATTTTATGAAAACAACATGATTACATATTTCACACAAACTATCATTAAACTCAAATAAAGTATCGTAAATGTTTAAAGAATTATCAGTAGGAATTAATTCTAAATTATTCCAGGCTTTTTTCAAAAAATTAGAAAATATATTACTACTAAATTGATTGAAAATTAAACTCCACATTTTACAAATATTATTCCTTAAGGTTAAATCAATATTTATATTTTCTAATATAACAAAGTCGTGTATACGTTTTGACATATATTTACAATATCTAAACAGTCCTACATCACATGGCTGAATTAAATTAGTTGTTTTTGGGGGTATAGTTAACCTTTTTAAATTAATATTATTTTCGAAAATATTGTCGTCCTTTTGTCCACTATAAGAGTCGAGAAGTAATAGACATTTATTCGGCATATATGGCTTAAACGCGTGTTTATACCTTGAATATATTTAACAAAAATTAATTTAAAATTTTAATGTTATAAAATAGCTGTGTTGTATTTTATAGCATTTATTATTAATTCAATATATATATATAATAAATGAGTTAAATTACTATTAACATGCTATATGGATTCTGAATTTTGAAAATTATTACCAGAAAAACATACGAGATTTTGTGGTTAATCCAGATTTGCTATTAGTATAAATAATATTATCATAATATTCAATGTTTTGTACAACCCTGGGTCCCATTTCCCCTTCCGGAAAATTACGTTCCTGAAAACAAATTAATATTTTCGGGTAAAATGTACCACTTTTGGTAAGAATCGGCAAAATAGTATATGAGTGAGTGCAGTCATTTATTGAATTAACTGCTAAAATTGTAGTCCGTTCACCAACATCACTTAAAGTCCGTGTAGACCTGAACTCATAATTGCACCCTGATTGGTCAATATTTACCACCTCGCTAAATTAATAATAAATATAAAATTAATAAATAGAAATGAAATATATTTATATTTTAAAAATTACCTGTAATACAAATATTAATAATAGTTAAATAGGGTTTAACAAAAATGTATGTCCTTCATGTCAAGTTATACATATGTCATGGCTTACTAAACATATTTTATATTAAATATCTTATAATTTATTATATTTATATTATTATAAGTAACATAGTACTTTATCGTGGTTACTTATTAATACGCTTTAATTTAAATCATATAATAAGATATTTGATATTAAATATGTCCGGTACGTCAATACATGTATAACTTGCCATGAAGCACATGCATGATTGTTAAACAATATTTTTAACATTTGTGTCGCATGTTAATTTTTGAATATATTAAAGTTTATAATAAGCTAGGCACATTAATATAATAGCATAATAAATATAATAGACACTTTAAACAAGCATGAAAATAAATCAAAATAACACATACTTATCAGAATAATTCAATACTTCCTTTTGGTATTCAGTTTTAAATTTATTTGCAGATTCAATAATATTCTGTTTATTCTTGATTTGTTTAATTGACAATATTTTGACTGCTTTTCTAGATTTAATACGATATTTATTTCTAAAATTGTGATACCATCCAATTGATGCATTAAATTTGATTTTATTATTAATGCTATATTGCTTTCCCCATCGTTTTATATCTATGATATGAACTGGGAGAAAATTGTCTCTGGCATTTCTGTATTTATTATATACATATTCATTTAGTTTATCATAATGGTGAATGCGATTGCCATTATTATTAATATAATCTCTCATACGTTTAATTTGAGTCCAATTATGAAGTTTAGCCCATTTTTGCTTACGTATTGTTTTAAGTTTATAATTTGGATGCAAATCAACATAGTTAACAATTTCTTTCATTTTAGTTAACGATAAACTCTGACCCTGTTAATAGATATTTTTGTTATATACAGTATTAATTAATATATGAATTTATAAATTATAATACATTTGTTTTGAATTCATTAGCTTCATAATCCGGATCACTTTGTGGATCAGTTTTCATTGAGATATCATTGGTATTCCTATCATAATCCGAATCATTTAACTTATCCAAATCCATATCTAATTCACCATCAATAAAATCATTAATTGAATCCATATAATAAACAATTTTATTAAATAATTGTTTTGAAAACCGTATTTCAATATTATTTAATTCACTTTGTACATTTATAAATTTGTCTCCAACTAAACCATTCAAATGATTTAATACATTAAAAATATTAAATGAATCCATGATATACTAATTATCTAAAATAAACACATTAACAAAAAACAGATAAAATTTCTTAATTACAATATTAAACAATGAATTACTCATTATAAAAAACATACCACGTTTTAAAACCAAATATAAATAATTCATATTAAAGTTTTACCTGGCTACTCATACTAATCGACTCATTTACAGTGCTATGAATGAATGAATATAAAAAGTTTTACACATTTTTAAGCGCCAATGTATGAAAATCGGAAAACTTTACCACGGTATATTGGACAAACCACTTTTCGTTAGGAAACCGGACCTGGATAACAATTAACTACCATGCCAAAGCAGTGAAATGAAGTGTATTTTATTAATATATTGCGGACACAGTACGTGATAATCAATGGTGAGTACTTTTAATATATTTTATATACTTTATGCCCTATCATTAAACCAAGTACATTTAATCTTATCTATCTATGATATTATCAATAAATTTAAATCAATAAAAGTTTTGTAAATAAATATATATTAGTTTAATGACAGCATTTTGTTTTGATAGTATAAATAAACTGCTTATACTAAGAAACTAAATGCTAAAAATGTTTTTAAACTCAATTTTACTAAAAACAATTGTGATATTAATTTATTCAATAAGTTTGTGTTTATCACAAATTCAAGTCTCTATTACTAACGGCACTATTGAAGGAATCACTAAACAAGTCAATGGAAAAACTATCTATAATTTTATGGTAAGTATTAAATCAAACATATTTTATCACAATATTTCAAATGCATTAAAATATAAAATAATTGTCGATAGGGTATACCATTTGGCGAACCACCTACAAAGGATTCAGGCCTCAGATTCAAGCCACCCGTCCCATTGAAAACTAAATGGACGGGTATTAAACCCTCAAAAGACATAACACCGCAATGTATGTCACCATTCAATACATCGGAACTGATTAGCGAAGACTGTCTTCACCTCAATATATGGACCTCTAGTGTCAGTCCCACCGCTAATATGCCGGTTATGTTCTGGATATATGGCGGCTCTTTCATTATGGGTTCGGCCACCAAACAAGTGGACGGCTATAATATCTTTGACGGCACACAACTGGCCCTCAAAGATGTAGTGCTCGTGACGGCTAACTATCGTTTGGGTGTTTTCGGGTTCCTATACGGCAATAGTAGTGATGCTCCGGGAAATGTCGGCTTTTGGGACCAGGTTATGGTCATGAAGTGGATTAAGGCTGAGATCAGCAAATTTGGCGGTAATCCCAACGATGTGACCATATTTGGTGTGAGCGCCGGTAGTGGTTCAGTCAGCGCACATGTATTATCCCCAGTATCAAGGCAACTATTCTCTAAGGGTATTATGCAATCAGGTTTGTACTGATTTGGATTTTTGCTTAATTATAAAAATATTTTAATAAATTAAATCCATTATATGTATAAATAAAGCTGCAACTTACCAGGATCGTGCCCCATTGGAAAAGGCGCTTAAATTCTCAAAAGATTTTGCCGCAAATCAAAACTACTTTTCCACAAACGCCTGTCCGGACACGGATTGGATTAAATGTCTTGAAGGGAAATCAAGCGATGAACTAAATGAGGCCCAAAACAAAGTGTTTTACGACAAGTTCACCGAAACGGGTGGCGTTCCCTTTACACCCATATCCGGCGACCAATTCATGCCTCGCAACTGCATCCCAGCCATCAAAGAGTCGGACTTCAAAACCGATGTCCGGCTACTGATAGGTCACAGTGCGATGGAAGGGGTGTCCTTTGCCCGCGATTTTGACGACATGTTTGGTCTCGAGGGTCGCTATAATCCCAAACAACTGTCTCGAGTGACCAGAAGTCAAGTCTACGACGATATCAAACTATTTATATCAAAAACGGATGACTTGAACGGAAAGATCGCCGGCGCCTATACCGACCCTTTCGGAGCCGACGGCACCGATCAGAGTCGGCAACTGATCCGAGCGGCCGCTCACGCCTATGGAGACTATGTTATCACATGTCCGACCATTTTATTTGGCGCCGAACTGGTCCGACAGACAGCGTTTAAGGGAACGGTATATCAATATCGACTGACGTATGCCAACTCCCAGTCCATATCGTACGACAGCTATTGGGCAGAGGCCGAGCACACCGATGAACAACCACTGGTTTTCGGCCGACCCCTCAATGAGCCCGAAAACACGTGGACTCAAACCGATCGCAAGATTAGTCAACTATTTGTGGACATTTGGACGGATTTCGCCAAAAATGGGTTAATATTTAGAAAATTCTGACTTATTATTGATTTAATTAAGGCTTTTATGTATGTATTAGTAAACCATCGCTTAATGGCACAGATTGGCCTCAATATGGAGTGGAATCCAATGGGAATCCGAACCTATCGTATGTGGAGTTGAATCCAATGCTCGAGAATTCATATGTAATTCATGTGAATAAATATCGCGGAAATGATGACCCAATGGTTGGGGCCGTCAATAATTGTCTGGAGTTGTGGTTTAATATTTTCAATACTGATACTGGTGCTACTACTACAATAACCACTCCGCCCCCTAGTACTTCTAGTATTTATAGCACCACTAATAATAGTAATAGATTCAGTGTTAAAACTACTTTCCAATGGTTTGGATTCATAAATATAATAATGACTCTTATTTTTAAATTCAATCCTTACTACCTATGAAATAATGAATTGTTAGTCAAATAAAGACTCACTTAAACACATTAGACATTAATCATTATTAGCCAGCACATTGTTCACATTGTTTAGTGTTTAATAAACGAAATTAAATTATTTCATTAAATACAATGAGTTCACAGAATATTGTGGTTAAGAGTGAATGTCGTGTATGTCTGGAGGCAAGTGATGGCCAATCAATGATAACTCCCTGTGCTTGCAGTGGATCCATAGCTCGCATTCACATCGCGTCTGGAAAAGTGCATTGAATTGAATGGTGAACACGTGTGTAGTATCTGTGGCACCAAATGGACGGGTATTACTTGGGAGAGACAGCCCAAAGACTATCGACAATATCACAACGAATATCCCGAAGACTTTTGGATAATAATGATTTGTTTGATATCTCAATTTGTGGGTGGGCCTTACTTTGTATATCTATTAGATATTATCTAATACGTTACTTGGTGCAAAACAATATATTTGCTTCAAATAATCCAATGTATTTGATTATGCCAATTGTAATATAAATTGAGTTGATGGCTTTATTTATAATAATTTATATTATTATCTATATAATATTATTTATATAGTTCTATATGTATACTAAATATAAAATATGGAAAATCAGTAATTATACGATTAAAATTAGTAAAACTAAGAATATTGTGTTTTTACGAAACATCAAGACATTGTATCAAATGTAAAACTATTATTAATAGAATTTCAAAATCCGATAAACATTTATTTAATTATTGTATAAATATTTTTAATGATTTGCCATTCAATGTAAGAAATTGTAAAAATTATAACAAATCGGTAAAACTTTGAAATGACTGTTTTTAACTACCATTCATTTGTATTATTTCATAAATAAATATAATTTATATATAAACTGAATCATTCAATATAAATACATTGGTTATTCATTACATTTATCATAGTTTAATATGTGATTAAATGAATTTCAATATATACATATTTGTTGGAAAAGCTAATACAAAACTCCAATTCTCATATTATTAACCAAATGAAAAGATTATCAATATTGTAATCATTTATTTCAATTTAATTTAAATAAAGCTATTTGAAATTCAATTGAGTCATACGCTTGTAATTGAATATCCAATATTTATATTAAATTATGAATCGTCTAAATATTAATCACTACTCAAAACAATTTGTGGCATTTTATGCGTATATTTGCAATGAACGCCAGACATACTGAATATGTGTATTGATATTAAAGTGAATTTAATTTGATTACGAAATGAGTTCACAGAATATTCTTATTGCCGAAGAATGTCGAGTGTGTTCCGATAAAAGCGATTCCCAATCAATGGTAACTCCATGTGCTTGCAGTGGAACTATGGCTTACATTCACTTCCAATGTCTGCAACAGTGGATTGAATCGAGTGGTCAACTGAAGTGTAATATCTGTGACACCAAATGGAGTGGTATTACTGTTACCAGAGACAGGATAAGGAAAAACTTTATTCATTATATGAAAGAAAAGGTGTCTGATTTGTTATCCATTAAATTCATGTTAATATGTATTACCGTTTTATTGGGCATCATATGTTTAAAATTAGAAATACCGGTATTTATTAAATTTATGCTCATATCATGGTTTGTTATGTTGATAATATATCACATTAATGGTATTTACAATGACTTTAAATTGTGGAAAACAATTAATTATACCGATAGGTTTATAATTAGAAAAATTAGTAATGTTGTCTAAATAAAATAACACTATCCCTTGTATTCATATAATTATAATAACTGAATAATTATTTCAATGATTAATTTAAAAATATAATCACTGAATCATACTGTTGAAATATAAAATAATTAAATGAATGTTCACTTTGTAAAACATTGGTTTAATGATAATACTAATATACAATCAATTAATTTATAAATGACTACAAATTGTTTAATATTATAATAAGAGTCTGACGAACAAAATGCAAAAAGCTTTTGCCATTAAATAAAACATTTAACAAAACAATTGCTTTAATAAAATATAATTACAAATAAGAATTGAATTTAATATTAATTTTCTTGTATTTATTATAAAGGATTTGTGGGAAACAATAGATTAAATGAAATGATTTTTCCATAAGAAGTAAAATATTTTGATTTTCAAATCAAATTCCTATGACTTCTATAAAGTGACAAAAGAGTTGTTTTGTTTTTCTTATATGAAAGTTGTGGTCATTTTTTACAAATATTTTCAGGCATTTATACACAATTCATATAATTATTATAATTAATAATCAATTCTTCATCAATACAACAGCAATCTGTCTATTGTTTTACATTATGTCTAGTATTTTGCTAATTATCTCAACAAATTCATCCAATTTGGATCTCGCACACATTTTTTATACAAATAATTATATTTCAATTTTTTTTATGTTCATTGCTTTCAGGTCTTGTGTTTAATAAATAAGTTTTAACATAATTTTGAAATATATAAATGACAACAAAATAATTGCTATACATTTTGCCAAATTAACATTCAATTCAAAAATCAAAACAAATATTTCATCAAAAGGTATGACAAATATTTGGTCGATTAGTGACAACAAATCATAATCAAAAAGACATTTGTTTTTCGCAAAAGACATGAAAAGTATTTTTATTTAAATTAATAATTCATTAAACATTTCTCTGAAATGGTAATAAAGTATATGTTAATAAATATTTACAAGAAATACATCATATGATTAGGCTTTTCGTGTCGTTTCAAAGTAATAATAAGTCGTTTTTCAATGAAGTAATAGTTTTCATAATAATAATAATTAATTAATTTATACGTAAAAGACTTTTCGCTGTTTTAATGTCTCGAATAGCAATGAATAATAACAACAAATAATTAATAAAAACAAAAATTAGAAATTCTCGCGAATAGTGTCCACAGAATATCCAGAATTATCGACAAAATATGTAATATTCTCTAAAAAATAAGTTAAAAACCAAAAAGATTTAAAAACACAAAAATCAAAGCCTTATATTCAGAATA